AACAGGCAGACGACCGAAATACACTGCTGAGGGGAGCAGCGGGCACAACAGGAGAGGTCTGCTGCGCTATGTGGGAATCTCTCTGGCCGGCTGGGAATTGAATCCGCACTGCAGAGGCTGCAGATAGCTTCACAGCACTGCGCTCAACCCACTGTGCCACTGGGGAGGCCCTCTTCTGTGATACTTTCCACTATGCTGAATCAAGCTATTGGAGTCACTCCTTTAGAATGAGGAGTCCAGGCTATGAATTGAAAAAACATTAACCAGGGCTGTTATGTTGCCTGACTTCATGGAGGCACCATTTACATTTTCTGTGAATGGTGCCCTCTAAATTTGCTCAATGTGCAACATGTACAGCCTTCCATGAGAGTTCTGTGACTACTTAATCAAAGACAGGTTATGCAGGTGCTTTTCCAAAAAAGAGACTTCAAGACTATTAAGGGTGGCAAGGAACACTGATCTCCTGTTATTCTTCCAACCACACCCAAATCTAGAGCTCATAATCATTACTGATCATTCCACTGGAGTAGATAGTAGGTGTTACCACAAATGTGCACACTGATAAAGAACTGGAGCCATAAAACCCTTATGCCCTTGAATCAAAGAACTGGCAGAGCAGAAAGGCGCTGCATTTCAGAGATGAAGATACTTGGGTCTGGGAGTTTTTCATAGAAAATTATTTACAAAGATATATTAGAATTTCCTGACCGGTGTTCCTTCCACTATTTTACACTGCTTGTGTTAAAATCAGATAATGGAGCATTTTTCAAATACTTATTAACTATAAATCACTATGCTTAAAATAAAAACTACTATTCTGTGAATGGTTCAAATTCACCACAATAATATAAATAATAATGATTTGGACTATATAAAAATCCATACTGTACACGGAGCATTTACTCTCAACAGCCCAATGAGGATCATGTCATAACATTTATCCATCCATGAGGAAATTGTGACCAAAAGAAGCTAAACAATTTAACAGAAATTAATTTGCTAACCCAGCTTTCAAACCATGCAACCTGACTTCAACCCTGCTCGACAACATATACTGCTGTCTGCAGTCAGTGACACAAATTATATGCAAGACAAATGGTGCTCATGTATGCTGGTTTTTTTTTTTTTTTGCAAAGAAAACATCACCAGAATACTCCCTCCCACTGACCCGATTAAACAAAATATCAAAATGCGTCTCTCTCCCTCCCATACACAGACAGACAGACAGAATAGGAAAATACCTACAGCTCCCTAAATTTTAGAAAAAAAGCAGCAAGATAAGTCTTATAATCCTATGTGGCAATCAAAAGTCACAGAATCTTACTGTACATTTTGGTACTCTTTTATCCCAAAAAAACAAAACGAAGGATTGTCCGAATCAAACATTCCTCTTAGGTTGCCTTATGAAATGGATTGAAACTCTCTCTCTCTGGAGACCCCTTTTTCACTAGATCTCAACCAAGGAGGTAGAGGTAATTTCTTTCCTTCTACCATCTTTAAGAATTGTGCTTTTCTGTGTTCGCCACAGAATAGTTGGACAAAGATGTGCTGCATTTATCTGTTATCTACCCAGTACCTGACATGTAGCAAGTACACTGTAAATGTTGGACGAATGGAGGGAAGAACGAAAGATAAAGGAGGACAGGAGAAAGGCTGGGAAGGAAGGAGAATATATGAATGACTTATGAGCACATTCTCTCCATCACGTTTCCAGAAAAGGGGTCCATAGTTGGAATGGAAATAACATCTCCATTCCCTCAGAATAGCTGATAGCGGATCAAATTCCCTAGAGTCAGTCTTGCCTCTTTTCTTCTTTATACTCTGCATCAAACCCATCTGCCAAACCTTTGGTCTCTCTCTTCAAAATAACCCCAATCCTACTCAGCACAACCTCCAATGCCATCACCATAGACCAATCCCTTATGTTCTTTGCTTAGTTTTTCAATTGCCTGCAAACTATTCTTCCTGTCTCTACTTTCTCAGCTGTTTGTTATCAAAAGGCAATCAGAATGGTAACTCCTGTAATCAGTCAGAGTAAAAATGAAAGTTCTTCCATCCTCCCACCAGACTTGACATGATCTGTGCCCACTCACCTCTCTGGCATTATCTCCTATCTCCTTTGCTCACCCCACTCCAGAAAGATACCTCCTCACTCCCCTCATCATCACTCTATCCCCTTAGTAAAGGCTGAACCATGACTCTCAAGTATGCCCATGTCTTAATTCCCAGAACCCATGAATGTTACTTTTTATGTCAAAAGGGACCTTAAAGAGGTGATTAAACTAAGGGTTTTACAATATGGGAAATTCTCCTGGATTTTCCTGGCAGGCCTCACCTAATCACAAGGTTCCTTATGAGAGGGACACAGGAGTCAGGACAGCAGGTAAGGTGAAGATGAAGAAGGGAGAGAAGTGGCCATGAGGGAGGAATGAGCACAGCCTGGAGACGCTGGGAGAGGGGAGGAAGAGAGCTCTCCCCTGCAGCCTCCAGAGGAAACACAGACCTGCTGCACTTGACTCTGGCTCCCTAATCTCATTTCTGATCTCTGATCTCTGTGATTAAATTTGTGTTGTTTCATATCACTAAGTGTGGTGTTTGTTACTTAGCAATAGGAAGTTCATACCCCGTTCTTCTGTGTTATGTTTCTTTTTGCCACCATCACACAGGGCATCATCTATAATCATTTGTCCGTGGGGTATCTCTCCCTCTACAGTGCAAAGTGCTTGAGATCTAGTATTTTATTCTGTTCATTGTTGCAACCTCAGGGACTGGCACAAATACTATCTGTTGATAATGTATTTTAATTTCATTAGTAATTAGGAACACTGAGTCTCAATACAATCTTGGCTGAACATATATCTGCAAACCTGCATGACATTTTCACTGACTTGCCTAGAACTGGTAGAAACACACAAACATGGGTATAGACCCAGCCCAAGCAGTCCACCTGAAACAGCCCAGAAGCAGAAGAAAACTAAGAGATCTTCTGGTACAGAGCCAACAAATCCTGCTGGGAAAATAGTGAGCCATAAGGAATTTCTTCCAATGTGGGGATCCCTGTACCCCCTCTGGAGAGCTGGGAGGAGGAAGGAAACTGGGTAGGTTACACTCAGCCTCCACTCACACACAAGCACAAAAGGCCTTGTATGAGCCATTTTCATAAAGGACGTTTCCATTCATCATGAAATGAAGAACTGTGGGGTAGGGGTGGGGAAGGCAGGGCTAATAGCTACCCCTCTTCTTACTAACTGCTGCTGAATATCCTAAAAAAAAAAGGAGCTCACACTTAGGAGCTGAGGCAGATGGTACATTCCATGACCTCTTAGTTAACACAGTTACACTAAAAAAAAAAAAAAGTGTATTTAAAGAGTTAATTCAAATTAAATCCAGTATTTGCTTTAGCATACTATAGGTCTTAACTTAGGAACCACATGTTACTATTAACAGTTTTTCCTGTTGATGGTACCAGCTGGAGATGCTCTCTTTTTTTCTCCTTCTTTTGTTCAACATGAGTGATGGGCTAAGTTCTGGTAAAATCAGCTCTTTGCCAAATTTGAATAATGTCTTGATGCACCAATAATGATGATGACTCACCTTGCCTATTGCACAAAGCTCGTGGGTACTTCTGTCTGTACAAAAACATACACTTAGTTCTCACATTAAAAGTGGGGAGTGGGTTGGAGACTAATTCAGTAGTGATGCAGACATGAAAGACGGAGGCTGTGTGAATGCTAAAAGTCTAAAAAGTCTAAAAAGTCTCCCACCACCTCTTCCCTTTCCTGCCTCCAAGGCTTTCCTGGTTCCTTTGTGCACACTTAGACACTCCCTCCCAGAATGCCCCAAACACAACACACACTAGTCTGTTCACCAGAACTAACCATGTGCATGTCTGTCTCCTGCATCACATCATTGATTTCTTGAGAACAAGAGCCCTGTCCTGCACACCCCTCTCCCCACACGTGCTCAGCACAATAGCAGGCAAGGTCTAGTGGATACCAAAGACTGAGCCAGAAGATTTACTAGCTTGCTTTTTAAAATGACTATATGCTAGAAGAAAGGTGATGTGATGGGCATGCAAAACAATCAGGGAAAAGTATAAAGTAGAAAATGATGCATTATTAGTAAATAGACTGCATTTCATTGGAAACATTAAAAGGAAAAATGTGGACTGGGGGTTTTGTAGGTTCATAGAGTAATTGTTTTTATTAGTCCAAAGCAGCAGTGTTGACTAATATGTTGTTTTCACATAAAAAAATACAAATATGAACAAGGAGTGGGGGGTGATAGAGGCAACATTCTGCCATCTTGCTTAATAAAGATTTGTTTATCCTGAAATGTTTTGTATGTATTGAGGATATGTATGTATGACTGTCATCTGTATTACATGTCAGCTTAATGCAAAGAACTAAAGTTCTTTTTTAAATATAATAAGCATTAACATAGGCACTGATAGTATTTTACTGCTACAGAAATCATTTCATTAGCTATTTTCATTATATTGATGCCAAAAGGGCAAGTTTAGTAGCAGATGTGACATTTATAGACCATATCTCTCAAGTATCTATGACCTTCGGAACATTAAGAAGGAAAGCACCACTTCATTCTAGATTTTACTTCACATATAAGCCTTGCTTTCGATTTTAAAGATCATTTGGAAGAAGGAAATTTGACCAGACAGGAAAATGGACTAAGTACCTGTTACAAAGGTAAGGCTTTGAGCAGCAATTTCCACTCACTCATACGTGAACTATTAAGATATGCTTAGCCCATGGTAAATAAAGTTCAATGACTAGGCACACACTTTAAATGTACTTCACAATTTTTGCCATTTTGAGCATTCTTGCGTGAGCTCTGAAATGACTCATTCTATTAGCTCTACTTTTGAGTATTGAGGTTACAAACCATGACACCTTACAGCTTTCCCTGATCACTCAGAGCAAATTAAAGCACCAATTACGCCATCTGCATGTATAGTTGTGCCTGTCAGAGGCAGCCCTTACCTTCACATAGAGACTAATCTCAGGGTTCTCAGAAGCTGATTCCTTTTTTCCCAAATTATCATCAGCAGAATAGCAAGCAGGGGAATCCAACAAGGTAGAGAAGGCCGTGCTTTCCTGCATGGAAAGCGGGTCTTCCTTCATCCTGCTTCCATTCTCCTGGGGGTTCTCTGAGTCAAGTTCTTCGTCCTCAGGGGTTAAGTATATTTCTTCTCTGGTCATGCCCCCATCTTCCTGGAGCTCCCCTGGTTGAAGATCTTTGAGGTCTTCTGGGCCTTTCTCGTAAGGCAGGTCGTATTCTGGTTGGGAAGAGATCAAGTTGTTCTCCTCACTCTGAACAACACAAGCTGACAAAGAGTCATATTCATGGGTTTCGGTTTCCAGTTGTGTGGCATATAAATTGCTTTCTGAGCCCAAATTGTGGCAGACATCATCATAAAGGGCACCTTCATTTTCTTCTGGTTGGTCTGGAAGCTCATACATCCCTCTTTTTGGATTGTGTCATAGATCTTGTTGTAGTCGTCTTCATTCATGCTTATTGATCGGATGAATCTGTTTGCAGGCAGAGCCCAGTATATCTGAAGGGAGTCAAGGGAGAAAGGATGCTGGATTGCCTTGCCTAGGAATCACCTAGCTTTTGAAACACAGCAACTAGCAACAGCTATCAATGACAGGTCTCTAACAATCATTTACCGGAGACTTTAATCAACAAACCACAAGTCCATTGGCCACAAGATAAAGCACAAGCAGTCAGTTAACTCCTTCACTACTAAGGGTATTTCCTCATTGTCACTATAGCCAAGATTCTTTGAATTAAGTAGAAGGGCAACTGAATCATTTTTCCTACAGACATTGAAATCCTGGGTATTTAGCCAGTTGTCACCAACTAGAGCTCCCTCTTCGTATTGCCTTCAAACGTTGACAATATTCAAGAAGTCCCTGAAGTTCAGGAGAGAGCAATTCTTCATGATGATAACTCATCTATTTACAGCTAAATTCATTACACAAAATAATTCTATCAGTATTGTACCCTATGACAAATGTATTACATATGCTGCAGTTAGGTAAAGAATTCTATTTACATTTCTTATCTGAAAACACCATTAGGTGAATAAATTGTTGAAAGAAAAGAAGATAAATGCTCTGGTGCATAGGCACATCAATACAGACAAGCCATAACAAGGGCCTCGATGGTTTATGGCTTTGAGTTATATTTTTCGCTCTTAAATCTGTCTGATCATTACAGTCAAGAAACATTCACTAAGAGTCTATTGTGGACAGAATACCAAACTAAGCACTAAACACATGTGGTAGAAAATACATTCTCCACTGAGGGGCTTTTAAACATAGCCAGAGGGGCAGAAAGAGAAACTAAAACCTGAATGGATGGAAACAGAATAAACTATTCAAGATTTTTTTTTTTTAATTGCAATTGGTCAGGTCCGGAATAAGTAGCAAAGAATTGCATGCACAAGGTTGTCTAGCTGAGTTCATCTACAGTTTCCAGGAGCATATGGGCTTGTTGTTTTTAAATCTGGAATCCAGTGCTCTATTCTGCTAATTAATTGTACCTAACCACACCATGTATACCTTCCTCTTTGAAATGATAACCCACATAGATATAAAAAGGAATCTAAATGTCTAGAAATCATGAGAAAATTGAGAAGCAAAACAACCTTGGTTGACAAATTTCAAAGCATTTGATTTGCACCTTACTGATAAAAAATAAAACTCCATTATACCTTAACCACAATACACTCTGTATTTGGAAACTTTGTATCTTCATATTGGCTGTTCCCTCTGCTTGGACTACATTTCCCTCTGGATGACTGCATAGTCAATTCCCAAATCTCCCTAAGCTTATGCTTACTTGTCCTGTTCTCACTGTGGCTACTTTGGCTGTCTTGTTTAAAAATGATAACCCATCCCAAATTTTATCTGTATCCCTTCACATTACTAAAAAGCTTTAGCATACTTTGTATTTCCTTTCCAATAATATCTATCTCCTTTTAATAAGATATATGCATTACTTATTTATTATGATTAGAGTTTATTTTCTGTCTTCTCACACTAGAAAATAAACCCTGTATGGATACAGATATTTTTCATCATTATCTTCAGCACCTAAAACTGTACTGACCCATATTATTCGATAAATATTTGTTGAATAACTTTTTGTAATTATTTGATATCTTTATCCCCCCCATATGTAAGTTTCATGAGTACAAATTCTATGCTTATTTTGTCCATCACTATAAATCGAAAGTCTAGCAGGTGGTTGCCACACTATAGGTGCTTATTAAATATTTGTCAAATAAAAGAGGAGATATATCTGGAATTTATATCCCTTTGTTTTTGTTCCATTTTCTTTTGTTCCATTTTTTTGTTCCATTTGTTTTTGTACATTATATGTACAAATGTTATCTATTTACTATATTGCAAATTCCCGCAGAAAGAGAACTAATACCTGGGTCTTCCACACTACATTGTGTAAAGCAGCTGGTTTATTTGCTTATAGAAGAAAGAACAATGCTTTGAGGGCCCCATGTGTTGTTACTTGCAACTTAGGGGTAAAAATGGCATATTCATTTACTTAAGAAGTGTTAAGAATGAGCTGGTGTGTTTTCTGAAATTTGAGTCTGCGTTTGTCACACCCATGTTTAGAAACCTTTGGTGGGTTCCAAACATGTATAAGGAGATGTCTGCTCCAAGCCCTTTCACAATCAGAACCAAGCCTATCTGTCCAGCCAGCTTTTCCTCTTAGCACTCCCCCAAATGTCCTACTCTGTAGCAGGAAATATTGCTCATGCCTGAATATGTTATTCCATTTCCTGTCTCTATTCTTTTGTACATACATTTCCTCCACTTGCAAAATAATACTTGTTTTACTATATGCAAGTTGTAAATATATAAGATCTTATATGGACATTCAGCTGAGGAAATTAACATATTAGTCATTCAAAAGAAAATATCCATCTGGGTCTTCCACAGGCTTGCCTATTGTCTGGGATAACTTGAGGGTCAACACCTGATCTTCTGCTTTGCATGTACAAAGACTCAATTTGGTTAGTTCACTGAGGGTTTTTCAAATATTGTAAAACTGGGTAACTCTAACTAAATTAAAAGTCATCTCTTTAGCAAATGAAATGCCTATCTAGTAAATTAACCCCCCTGAATCATTTACCTGTCAAATGGACTTAAATACCGACTTGGAATAATAAGCATAACCTCTTCATAGTAGCAAAGTCTACACAGAGAACCAACTAAGAAATATCATAGGTTCATAAGATCTGAGATAATACCCTTTTTTAAAAAAAACTAATATTAGTGATGTGTGCCTTTTCTTTTTATCTTGAACAGTCTTTCTAAGGATGTATTAATTTCATTTCTTTTTTCAGATAATCATTGACTTTATTAATAGTCTCTATTGTACATTTCTTTGCTATTTCACTAATTTCTGCTATTAGCTTATTGTTTTCTTTCCTCTGCTCTCTTTGACCTTACTTTGCCAAATAATAATTGTGATGGACACTTAGTTTCTTGGTTTTCATCTTTTCTTCTTTTCTAATATATATTTAAGATTAATTTTCCTCTACAGCTTTATCTGTATCTCACAAGTTTTGATATATTTTAATTTTCATAATTATCCAGTTATAAAGACTTGCCATTTTTCTGTTTAGATTTTTTCCCTTTCATTCATGAATCATTTGGAAATGTATTAATTGTGTTCTGAACAGTTGAATATTTTCTAGTTACCTTTTCTGTTAATGATTTTTAGCTTAATCTCATAGTAACCAGAAAACATAGTCTTGATGATTTTAATCTACTGAAATGTGTTTAGAAACTTGCTTTATGACCCAACATAAGTCTAACTTTGGAAATATCCTCTATGTAATTGAAAAGATGTGTGTTCCACCATTGTTAGGTTTAGTCTTCCATAGATGGTTAGTTTGTGTTTGCTTATTTTTGTTATTTATTTCATATTCACATTAATTTTCATCTACTTGTTCTCTTAGTTATTGAAGGAAGAAAGTTAAATTTTCCCATATGATCATGGATTTGACTAACTCTCATTTCAGTTCTCTGTTGTTATATTACATATTTTTGAGACTAGATTATTAGGTACACACAGATTCAGAATTGCTATTATCATTTTGGGATAGGCTTTTTTTTAATAGAAAATGTCTTTATTTCTAGTAATATACTTTGCCTTTTTCTGATATTTACTTTATTTTGGTTAGCATTTATGTATATTTTTTCCTTTCAAATTTTATTTTTCTGTGTATAAGCATTAGGTAGTTATATCTTTTTATCCAGTCTGAATACCTTTGTCTTTTAACTCAAGTATTTAGTCTATTGACATTCAATGTAATTGTAAGGTATGTAGGCTAAATAGACTGTCCTATGATTTGCATTTTTTAAATATAAAAAATTTGAATATGCATTTCACAGGAAAGTGATATATTGCTGGTTAAGAAGGTCATTAAGAGCTCAGGATTACTAATCATGAGGGAAATGAAGTTAAATGAAGCCACTTCATAACACTAGAAAAGCTAAAATTAAAAGAACTAAAAATACCAAATGTTGATAAAGATGTGAAACAACCAGAACTCTCAAACACTGCTTGTGCTTATGAGAGTATAAAATGGTATGAACACCTTGAAACATTTTTAACTGTTTCTTATAAAATTATACATCTGGGGGCCTCCCCGGTGGCGCAGCGGTTGAGCGCTGGGCTGCGAAGCTGTCTGCAGCCTCTGCAGCACCCATTCCATCCCTGGCCACTGGCAAGGGTCCCACATGGGGCACAGACCTCTCCTGCCGCCCACTGCTCCCCTCAGCAGTGTGTTTCGTCAGTCTGCCTGTTCTGTTCTCCGCTCTGGTGAATTCTCTCATCCTCCCGTGCTTCTGACTGTACCAGTGCTTGTGTAAATAAATAAATAAATAAATAAATCTTTAAAAAAAAAAAAACACTTTTTAAAATAAATAAATAAATAAAATGAAATTATACATCTGCTCTAAGATTCAACAATTCCAGCAAATCTTAGAAATGTATCCCCTAGAAGTCAATATGAAAGTCAATCAATCATATTAGGTTTTATACAAATACATAGAAAAATTTGAATCATAATATCAAAAAAATGGATCATTCCAGCAATAGAAGAATGGATAAATAAACTGTGATGTATGCATATAATGAATACTACTAATCAATTACAAAGGAATGAACTCTAAGATCAATCTCTTAGACAATATGCATAATGAATGATGCCAAACATAAAAGAATAATTATTCATATAATTTCATATAGTTATGTTGACTTCGGAATATACTAAGAGTTATGATTTCTTGAGCAAATATTTTAAGGGCCATTTCTTTATCTCTTTGGAAATGAAGGCTCCATGTTAACAGCTATAAGACTTCCTCCTCTGAGAGCAAAGTTTCTTGGTTACTTTCATTAACTATAGTTGTTCAAACCAAATACTCCCTAGAATAAAACTGTCAGACTGGAAAAGTAAGGCATTATTAGTGACCTATGGTGCCAGCATCCTCTTGGCCACCAATGTAGCTAGATGAT